CACACACACACACACACACACACACACACACACACACACACACACACGCCCTCTGGAAATAAAGCCCTGGAGAAGTGCCACAGGCTGCCTGAAGAGAGAGAGGCCCAAAAGGGAATGTGTTAGAAGTTGTGTTCACGACATCAGTGACCTTGGTGCCTTCTATTGAGATCGAGTGGTAAGGACACAGGCTCTAAGGGCCTAGGTGACCATTGGTAGAGGAGGTTGTGAGCCTCAAAGAGACAGGCAACTAGGCCTCAGCAGACTCCTCAGTGAGAGGGGCTCTCTCCTAGAAATGAGCAGGGTCCTCTCCTGAGGAGATGTCAGGGAGTCTTATCTAGGCCTCAGATAGTAGGACGGTCCAGAGGGCAGTGAGTCCCAGAGACTACATTCCCGGGTGGTGAAAGGGGCTCAGGGAAACTGAGGGTGAGGTAGGAAAGAGTACAGACCCTCTATATTTACCTTTCTATCTGTTTCGGGGCTCCTGTGTCCTCGAAATGAGCAGGGTCCTCTCAGGTTCATTTCCGGTGACACATTGCCAGGGACTGAGTTAGCCCTAAACTGCTCAGTCCTCTGAGGAATTATACGCAACACAGGGCATAGCTTTGTGTCGTCATCAAAGTTGCCTCCCACCCACCAGCTGCTGCCCTCCCCGGGAAAGGCAGAAACCCAGCAGGAGGAGTATAGATGAAGGTGTGCAGGAGAGACCCGGCTCCACATTCCTCACTGCATGCCTGACAGGACAGGGCACCACACCATTGTCACCCTCCATTAACCTCCCTGCCCTGGTACCTGTTCCTAAGACTCTCATTTAATTCCTTTTCTATGCCATTGCAATCACAAGGTTTAGGAGTTAGGGTTCACACCTTCGCATAGTAGACATGCCACCGAAGGGGAAGAAGGCTACAAGCAAAACTGCAAAGCGCCCAAGGGATTCTTCTGATTCCCAATCTGATGATGACATCCCGTACAATGTTCCCCACAAACCAGGTAAAATCAGGAGGGTTCTGCAAGGCTGTGACTAACCCAGGGGAATATTAGACCTATCTCTTGGCAAATGGTGTATAAGGGCACCCTGGGCCCAGTCAGGATCAATGCTTCAGATTTCAGGTTTCAAATTTCAGATTTCAGTTTCAAATGCTCAATACTTGTATTTCAAGTTTCTCAAACTGTTTGTTGACTTTAGATTCCTCCTTGATATTCTCATCCCAGGACTCCTAGCCTAAGCCACCCTCACTTCCAACCTATCTCCTGGCAAGGACGTGATTTTAAAGTCCCTTTAACCCTGGAAGGCTTGTACAAATGCCAAGATGGAAGGAGGGAGGAAGTGAGGGAGGGAAGGAGGAAGGGAGGGAAGGAAGGAGGGAGGGAGGGAAGGACGGAGGTGGGGAGGGAAGGAGGGAGGAGGGAGGGAAGGAAGGAGGGGGGAGGGAAGGAAGGAGGGGGAGGGAAGGAAGGAGGGGGGAGGGAAGGAAGGAGGGGGAGAGGGAAGGAAGGAGGGGGAGGGAAGGAAGGAGGGAGGGAGGAAGAGAAACAGACAGACAGACAGACAGACACACACACACGCAAACACTCACACACACACACACACACACAGAGACAGAGACAGAGAGACAGAGAGAGACAGAGAGAGACAGAGAGACAGTGACAGAGAGACAGATAGAGACAGAGAGACAGAGACAGAGAGACAGACAGAGACAGAGAGACAGATAGAGACAGAGAGACAGACAGAGACAGAGAGACAGAGACAGAGATTCCCAGACACATGCCTATTTTTCATCTCAAGTGGTATTTAAAAATATTTTTCTGCTTTGTATTGTATAGGCCAGCCTACTGTAATTGGTGAAAATGATTGCCCATTTATACTATATCATCCTTTATTAAAATGATACCATGCAAAAAAAAAATATATTTTTCTTGTCTAGGATTAAACTTTCCCCCTTTTTGTTTGTTTGTTTGTTTGTTTCAATGTACCAGAAACATCCGTGATTGTTATCAGTGATGAGGACAGTGCTTCATCAGATCAAGATGATCAGCAGACAAGGTAATCTATGTAAAGTCTTGTTTGTCTGTCATTAAGGTATTTTCAGAAAATTCAACTATTCTTTGTAAAACACCACATAGCATAATACTTATTTCCAGATGAGCTGAATTTTCATATACTCATTTTAAAAATTTATGTTTTTCATAGGGAATCGGTTCAGAAGATGATGCATGACCTTCAAGGTATGTTTTCTTAGAAGACATGTGCCATTCAGAAGTGCTGTTTTCCAATCTTTCAATTTTTACTAGGTCATAAGTGAGTCACTGATCTATAGGACTCTGTTTGATGTCTCCTTCACATACATTGGACTGCTTCCTTTATGTATAGGGTCTCTTATTTTTGTGTACATTTTTTTGCTTTTTAAAGTGGTGATGTGGAAACGGAAATAGTTTTAACAATGACGGGGTCTGGGTGTTTTGCACAGTAGAAATTGAGTAGAGTGTGTGTTCCTTGATGGATTGGATGAGGTCATCTCCATTTTTAAACTACTGTCTATTATATTTATTAGTTTCAACATGTTCTTTTCATGCTCTGAATTAATTTAGATTTTCTGGAGCTTTGATGTTGTTTTTCCTAGAATAACAGTGCTTATAGGAGTCTTTTCATACAGTCCTTACTAACTCTGAGTGAGCTATTAAGTAGCAAACTAAAAAAGTTCTTTGGTTTTTGTTTGTCTTTTTTGTTGTTGTTGTTTTTCTTTTCCCCAGTGAAAAGTATGAGGTTGGATCCTTAACCTCATACATTTTACGCTTGATTATTAACTATTAGTTCTACTTTATGAATTGACTGACATCTTTACAAAGTGACTAAATTTTGGACACCTCTCTAGAGACAATACCACCAAGACTCCCCACTAATTTTCGACCTGTCTCTAGAGAGAATTAATACAAACAAGTAGCTTGGAAAGCTTTTGTCTTCTTGTTGCTGACAAGGAGCTTGGATTAGGAAGAATCACAGAAATTGTTACGAGATAGATAAAAATATCTTCATCATTGCAGGTATTATTTGATTTGTAAGTTCTAAAAATAGCTATGTCCTGCATTTCCTTGATATAAGTTCATATGATGAGTAGAGAACTCCTAGTTCACGAAATATTATGAATTCCAGCACTTATGGGAAAGCATGTGTTCTGAAGTCTAAGAAAAAATTTAAATGTTCTGTATTTAATCTGCTTTTACTCAAGATACTGTCTTTTTTAGTAAAATACAGTGCCTAGACCTCATAGGTCAGAGTGCTTAAAACTAACTTTCATATTGTATGTCTACTTGTATGTTTTCAGCAGTGTTCAAAATAAAATATACTTGTGTGTTATCAAATGTGTTCTCACAAGAACTCATCCTGTAAGATTATCCTTTGAAAAGAATAATATTTACTAAATGTTTATATTCTTTTGTATTAAGTGATTCTGAGGATAAAATCAAAGTTGTCTTTGAACATCTTTATATACATGATATAAACTAATTACCATATTGACTTGGACCTTTCTTTTCTCTACTTTAAATAGTGGAATATGTATATATATATATATATATATATATATATATATATATATATATATGCAATTTGGTTAACTAGAAAGATGAAGGAAAACGGAAGTGTTTATAAAAATGTTTGTATTTTGGGATGATGTCTATGGTATCAGTTTTTAATATTTTTGCGATATTATCAATCAAAGAACATATCAATTTGAATGTATGGGAACAAAGTAGCTTCCAGTTTTATCTTCTAATAAAATTTTATTTCATGTATAGGTAACTTTACAAAGTCCTACCTTGCAAAGAGAAAGCAGTTTCGTCAAGATATAAGAACATCTATCGATATTTTGAATGAAAAACTTGTGCGTATTTTTAGAACACAACAAACGGAAAGGTAAAGTTGTTGGCTTCTATGAATTACAAAACTTGTGCAATTTCTTACTCTTCATTAGTGCAAATAAATGCAGATTCATGATCACTATGCATGGATTTTGAATCTCCCCCTAAAACTGCAATTACCTTGATTTTCCTCTGAACAGAAAATTTATTAGTTTAGAACCTCAGTTTTGCAGAATTGAGATATATAATGTAGAGTACAGTGAATATAGTCAACTTCTTGTGTTTTAGATAACAATATAACTCTTATTACTGTAAAATTCATTAATGCTTATGTTTTGTAATTGGCTGCCTACATGCATGCAGGGTCAACACCAAAGTATTATGCATAGGACAGCAGATAATAGTCAGCCTATGTAGGCACTTTTAACATATCACAACTATAAGTCTTAAATTGTAATGACAGTCTTTCAAATAATCTGAATGAGTCTCAAATTGCAATTGACAGTCTTCTGGGAAAGCCATTGTGAGACTGGAAGAAGACAAATTCACTGAAGAGTTCTCTTAGGGCAGTCCTTGAGGAGGAAGGCACATGTTACTTGGAATACATCAACTTGCTCTATCAGAATCTACATTATCTAGCAAGAGAAAAACGTATTAGATATTAGATAGAGTTCAAATAAATAATTATAGATGAATTATATAGCAAAGAATCCTCGCCATTCAAGAGGGAAGGTATGTGATACATTTTCTCTTGTAGTGACTTAGGAGTACTTAGATTTATAATGGGGCCACGTGACTTCACTTTTCTCTGTCTCATTAGATTATTTTAATTATTTTACTCTTGTCTTTTGGTTGTATGAATTATTCCAAATAGTTTTTATTTGACAATGTGTAATCTGTCTTACCCTCATACCATAAGTCCATGCTTTTTTTTTATTGGATATTTTATTTACATTTCATATGTTGTCCCCTTACCCCATCCCCCACCCACCCGGGAACCCCCTATCCCCTTACCCCTCCTCCTCCTTCTCTGTGGATGTAACCCCTACCTACCCCCCACTCCCACTTTCCCACCCTCAAAATTCCCACCCCCTGGGGCGTCCAGGCTTCATGAGGTCAAGGATCTCTTCTTCCACCTATGCCCAGCAGGGCCCTCCACTCTTACATCTTCAGCTGAAGCCCTGGATCCCTCCCTAAGTGCTCCCAGGCTGGTGGTTTAGACCCTGGGAGCTGTGGTTGGTTGGTATTGTTGCTCTCCTCGTGGTGCTGCAAATCCTTTCAGCTCCTTCAGTCCTCACTCTAACTCCTCCATTGAGAACCCCATGATCAGTTCAATGGCTAGTTGTGAGCATCTGCCTCTGAACATGTCAGACTCTTGAAGAGACATCCATATCAGGCTCTTATCAGCATGCACTTCCTGACTTCCACATCAGCATCTACCTTTGGTGACTGCACATGGGATGGATACTCAGGTGGAAAGGTCTTCAAATGGCCCCTCCTTCAGTTTCTGTCCCTCACTTTGTCTCCATATTTGCTCCCTTGAGTATTTTGTTGCTCCTTCTAAGAAGAACTGAATCACCCCCACTTGGTCTTCCTTTTTTGTGAGCTTCATGTGGCCTGTGAGTTGCATCTTGGGCATTTCAAGGTTCTGGGCTAATATCCGATAATCAGTGAGTGAATACCATGTGTGTTCTTTTGTGATTGGCTTACTTCACTCAGGATGATGATTTCTAGTTCCATCCATTTACCTAGGAAACTCTCGAATTCATTGTTTTTAATAGCTGAGTAATATAAAATTGCAAAGTTTCTGTAAGGCAAAGGACACTGTCAATAGGACAAAATGACAACCAACAAATTGGGAAAAGATCTTTACCAATCCTACATCTGATAGAGGGCTAATATCCAATATAACAAAGAACTCAAGAAATTAGACTCCAGACAACCAAATAACCCTATTAAAAAATGGGGTATAGAGCTTAACAAAGAATTTTCAATGGAAGAAACTCGAATGGCCGAGAAGCACCTAAAGAAATGTTCAGTGTCCTTAGTCATCAGGGAAATGCAAATCAAAACAACCCTGAGATTCCATCTCACACCAGTCAGAATGGCTAAGATTAAAAACTCAGGTGATAGTAGATGCTGGCGAGGGTGTGGAGAAAGAGGAACACTCCTCCATTGTTGGTGGGACTGCAAGATGGTGCAACCACTTTGGAAATCAGTGTGGCGGTTCCTCAGAAAATTGGACATAGCATTACCTGAGGATCCAGCTATACCACTCCTAGGCATATACCCAGAAGATGCTCGAACATATAACAAGGACATATGCTCAACTATGTTCATAGCAGCCTTATTTATAATAGCCAGGACCTGGAAAGAACCCAGATGTCCTTCAACTGAGGAATGGATTCATAAGTCCATGCTTATCATTATGTTTTACAGGGAGATGTTTCGTGCCAGATATTCTAAGATGTCTGAGCCTTTGCTCCAACAGTGGGAAAAGGATGTGATCAAAGTTGGGCAAGAAGAAGACAGTTTTGTTGTGAGTATCAGGTTTAGCTTTGTAGCCAATGTATTGTGACAAAGCCTAAAGTGGTAGGAATAAATACAACTACTCAAGAAGGATAGTCGAGTATAAGATCTTGGAGGAATAAGATGGGTGAGGTATGAGATGAAGGGCCTATAAGATCATGCTTTCTGGCTTGCTTCTTTTTCTGTGGTGGCATGTGAAAATGGTGGGATAGGAGTCAGGCTGGCTCACACAGCATGTTCTGATTGAAGACTCGCAACTATTCTTCTCTCTCTTCTGAGGGAGCCTAGGGAGATACATAGGACCAGCAGTAGGAGTGCCCAGCATAATTTAATGATAAAATGCTAAACAGTCGTGGGAGTAGCCCATGTAGCTTCTGTGGCAGAGCAGGTGAGGGATTATCCTTGAGTAGTTAGTATTCTGACAAGCCCAGACCAGGAGGGGAAAGGAAAGATGCTTGGATGCAAGAACAGTTTTGAAAACTGATAATGATATTTACTCTGAACAGGACAGGGAAGTTGGGTGTTAGACAATGGAAAATGTTCTTTTTAGGGCCTCTTGTATCGTGACAGGGGACTGAGCTGCAGTACTAAAGACAATGATCCTCAAAGCCAGGAAAGAGCCTTGGTGCTGAGAAAATGGTGAAACAGTCCATGGCTATGGTCAGGAAGCTGGGCTCTGGCACTCTGCTTGGAATCTACCCATAGTTTAACTAGTTATCTCTGTGACTCACTTCCCTAAGGGGTGAAAGCAGAGATAGCAAAGTTTCCACCTTATAGACTTAGTTAAATATTAAACAAGTTCTGCCTTCATATATTTACTGAAATGTCCTAAAACAGTGCCCAATAACTGGTTGTCGTGTGCTTTTCATCTTTTTCATATTTAATATATGTGGATGAAAGAGACCTAGGGGATGATTTTGAGGGCCAGGAGGGGTTACACTCAGATTACAGCTGGAGACAAGGTCAAGGAGCAGAAAGGGCTGCATATGGAAGTTTCATCTATGTACATGTTGCAATGTGCAACATTTAATACTCATTGAATGCTAGACTACAAGGAGTATATCCTATTTATATTACTGTGATGTAGGAATTCACAGATTGGAAGGATCCTCTGTTGACTTCAACATCAAGAATCCTTGCAGCTTAAACCTTAGTGACAAAAAGACTACCTTAGCCAAAAACTGTTGAAAAATATTTATCTTAAATCATTAACATCATTTAAAATTGAACATAATATTTGAAGCAGCAAGTATCAGCATTTGGGTTTGTGAATATTCAATTTTCTTGAATTTAGTCACCTCTTTCTTTTACATTTTAGAATTCATCCCATCAACATGCAGAGACTTTGTATAACACTACAATGGCGCAGAGAACAGCCATGGATGAAGCAAAAACTATTTCTGACCAGTTTCTAAAGGTCTGTTTGTTGTAGCTGCTAAGAAATAATATCCTTATGACACAGTACATAGGTAAAAGCAGGAGACAGGCTGGTTCTTCCTGAATCTATGGGGAGAGGGGGAAGCTATTAAATTCTTCTTTTAAAGTTTGATCATTTTCTATTTTGAATGCTTTCCAGTGTTAACTATGATTGCAAAGGGCATATTTAATTTGAAAACTCAATCTAGTTTTATGAGTCATTTACATCAGGAAATGTAAAATTTGGACTTCACCTAGAGCTAAACACACTGGAGAATTTTGACGTTTAATCTGCTCTGTGATGTCTTTATGCTGAAGTTGATACATAAAGAGTAGAAATCAGGCATTTTTATAAATAATTTATTGTTTTCTTTTTCTTGTTTAGTATGGGCAGTTTCCTTGAGTGGAACATAGGCAAGGGTAAACAACAAATAGGTTTTTTCTGTTCTGTTTGTCTCTTGTTTGTTTGAAACAGGATTCAACTACTTAGGCCTGGTTGGCCTTGAATGCATAGCAGTCCATGTGTCCCTGCCTCCAGAATGCTGGGATTGCTGGTGTGTGCCACCACACCTGTCGTATTAGGACCACTTTTATTTTGTAGTGAAGCATGTGAGATTGCTATGGGATTTTGCTATTAGAATTAATCATGTCCAATGGTGGCTTTATGTTCCAATTTGCAGCCCTTAGAGATGGCTGAAATACCTAATAGAATGAACAAAGAAGGCAGAGCATAGACCTTTAGTGAAAAGAGAACTATGCACTTGGACTTACTATCTTTAGTGGCGCTGATGTCAAGCTACAGTATTCAGGGGTTTAGGGGGTGCTTTGGAGGTCACTTTTTTAAATACTGTTTTACTTTTTGCAGATTATATTTATCTATTTAGGAATGTATATGTATGTGCGAGGTGCATACACATATATATATATATATACACATGTACACATACACATACATATACATAATATACACACACATTATATACAATATACAAATATATACAATATTTTAGAATGTTCTTTGGTATTTCATGTTTTAATATCTTTTTAATTTTCTTTTTTTCATTGAAAATAGGATCTTCTCTTATCCAATACATCCCAACCACATTCTCCCCTCTCTGATCCTCCTAGCTCTATCCCTACTACCTTCCCTCTCTCCCAGATCTCTCCCAGATCCACTCCCCTTCTATCCTGTTATTCAAACATATCTGAAGTGTCTCTTTCTAAACTAACTGATGCTGCTTTAATAAAGTGGCAGTTACCAAATTCTTTTAAGAGTTTCAGTGTTCCCTATACCCAGTTCAGGTGTTTAGGGAGAGTTTAAAGTTGGAAGGAATGTAGCTCTACTGAGCTGGAAAACTGTTTTCTTGAAGATTTGAATAGAAGGGGTTTCCTGTAGCTGGACTTTCTCAGAACCACCAGCATAATAAATACTGACATGAAGTCTTCTGAAGAGTTTACACTTAGCCATTCACCCAGCTAGCTCATCTAACTTAACCCGACCATCTAACCTACAACCAGCCACGTGGCGTGGCTAGCTCTATACCCTTCTCTGTTTCTCTGTGGCCCCTGTCTGTTCCCTCCATGTCCACTCCAAGGATCTCCCACTTCTGCTTTCTTCCCTCAGCATCCCTCCCTCTGCCCAGAAGACCCATCTCCTACTTCCTGCCCAGATATTGGTCATCAGCCCTTTATTATAACCAATCAGCAGCTAGACAACCACTGATGCAATTCTAGATTGCCTTTAGGCAGGTGAGGAAGTATGAATATTTAGGAAATAGAAAACACAGTTGGTGGCCATAGAAATGACAACACCAGAATCCTGCCAGTATTTAGTTCTTTGCAGGTACAGAATTAATGATTGAAAATACAGAGACACACCTTCTTCACACACTGTAAAGAAAAAAGTTACCCCAACAATTTCTTCTAAATGTCACTGTTAAATGTGACCACTAGATTGGGAGCTTATTAGCGAACCTTCTACAGTGGCTGCTTGCTGTTCCTCTCTCCAAGTTACCAATAGGGTGGGCCATGTGTTCTGTACCGAGGCCCTTTCCTCTTCTTCATTGAATTCCCTCAGCTGCTGGACTATCACAGGACCTTATCATTTTTTGCTAGTACTAGAAAGCCTTTTCTGAGTTCCCTCTTTCAGTCACTCCTTCAGTTAAAAGTCCCCACCTCCCATGTTGCATTGAAAATGTGCAAAAAAGGTATCAGCCTCCCTTTCTTAACTCTCAGATCTTCCAGTGCCCTCCTCAAAATCTTCCCCCCTCCTTCAGATCAAAGCTTCTTTTGCTGTCATTGCTTCCATGCCTCCCATATAGTAGGTTCGTGTGAAGCAACCCCTACTCTGTTTCCCTGCTTTGCTTATGGTTTTCCCTAATTCTTGTCTTTATCTAGAGAACCCAGCAAGTTCTCCTTCCTAATCCATTTTAAACGTCTTTATATTATTCCTATTTATATGCTTATCCATATCCTAGGAATATGGCAGAAAGTATGCAGTTACATTTCAGCTGTTCCTGGCATACACATGCCACAGTTAGCAACCCATGGTGTATATCACTTCACTCTCCTTTGGCTGAACAGAGCAAAGAATTCGGTGATATTCTGTGTACCTTGAATGCTCTTAAGGCAACGTGTCTACCGTGTCTTTGGAATGGAAATGGAAATCATGTTACATGTTCTGTGGAAATCATATTGCATGTTCTATCTTTCATCTTAAGCCAGTACCGGCGGCAGGGCAGGGGATACTCTAGTTCATGCAATAGGCCTGCATTTTTTTTTCTCGGACTGCTTCCTTTTGATTTCCAATGTTCATTCAGTATCTCATGCTCCCAATACAAATATGCACCTTTTTACCCCTTCTTTGTAACTATGCTTCACTCATGTAACTATTTATTTGTTTGTTTGTTTATATTTTATTTTAATTCAAAGCCCTCCTCCCTCTTCTCTTTCCAGTTTCACACTTACTAATCACTACCCTATTGCCCCCTCCCTTTCTCCTCAGAGAAGGGGAGCCTGCCCACCCCTTTTGTACCTCTGTATCCTCAGGCATCTAGTCCCAGCAGGACTAGTCACATCCTCTCACAATGAGGCCAACTATGCAGATCAGGTAGGGGAAAGGGGATTCATTAGCATGATCAGAGACTGAGACAGCCCCCTTTCCACTTGTTGGGGGAACAACATGAATGCTGAGCGACACATTTGCTACAACTGTGATGAGGGCCTAGGAACAGCTCTGGTATGTCCCCTGGTTGGTGACCCATGCTCTGTGAACCCCCATGGTTCTGGGTTGTATGAATCTGTGTGTCTACTTGTGGAGTTTTGACCCCTCAGACTCGCTCACTTCTCTCCCCAACTGTTCCTCAAAACTCCCCAGGTCCTGCCTGATGTTTGGCTGTGGGACTCTGCAAATGTTTCAGTCAGCTGCTAAATGAAACCTTTCAGAACAGACTTATGCTAGGTCCCTGCCTTCAGGCATGCAGAGTATCTTTAATATTATCAGGGGTTGGCTCTATCACATAGAATGGATCTCAAGTTGGGATCATCATTGGTTAGTTGTTCTCTCAGATTCTGCTTCTTTGTTTTCCCTGCATATCTTGTAGTCAGGAAAAATTTTGGGTTGAAGGTTTCGTGGGTAGATTGATGTCCCTCTCCCTCCTGTGGAAATCCTGTCTGGATACAAGAGGTGGTCATTTCAGTCTCTATATCCCCCTCTATCAGGAATCTACTCTAGAGTAAACCCTGTAGACACCCCTTATCCTCTCCTGTCCCAGGCCTCAAGCTAGTCACCAGAGATAGCCCCCTCCCCCTGATTTCCATTCTCACTCATTCTCACTCCCTCCTGGGGCCTCTCTCACACAGCTTCTCCTCATACCTGATTGCCTTGCAACCCCATACCTCTCTTCTCTTACCCTGTTCCCTCCTTCAATCCACTTCTGATGACTATTTAGTTCCCCCTTTGAGTAAGATTCACGTATCCTCCCTTGGGACATCTTTATAAACCATTTTTTGGTCTGTGGATTGTACCATGGCTATCCTGCACTTCCAGGACAAATCGCTTCCAGTTTATGACTATTATGTATAAAGCTGCTATGGACATATTTGATCGAGTGTCCCTGTGGTATAGTGGGGCATGTTTTAGATATATGCCCGGGAACAATATAGCTGGGTCTCGAAATATTGGATTCCTAGTTTTCTGAGAGACAGCAAATTGATTTCCAAAGTGATTGTACAAATTTATACTCCCACCAGCTATGGAGGAGTGTTCCCCTTTCACCACATCCTTGCCAGCATGTGTTGTCCCTTGAGTTTTGATCTTAGCCATTCTGACAGGCAGAAGTTGGAATCTCAGGATCATTTTGATTGGCATTTCCCTAATGACTAAGGATGTTGAACATTTCTTTAAGTGCTTCTCATCCATTTTAGGTTCCTCTCTTGAGAATTTTCTGTTTATCTCTGAACCCTGTTTTTAATTGTCATTTTGGATGGTTGGTTTCTAATTTCTTGAGTTCTTTATATATTTTGGATATTAGTCCCCTGCCAGATGTAGGGTTGGAGAAGATCCTTTCTATTCTGTAGGCTGCTGTTCTGTCCTATTGACAGCATCCTTTGCCTTGCAGAAACTTTGCAGTTTCATGAGGTCCCATTTTTCAATTGTTGATCTTAGAGCCTGAGCCATTAGTGTTCTGCTCAGGAAGTTGTCTCCTCTAAAAATGACTTCAAGGCTATGCCTCACTTTCTGTTTTATTAGATTTAGTTTGTCAGATTCTACTTTAAAGTATTTGATCAACCTGGACTTGAGTTTTGTGCAGGGTGATAACTATGGATCTATTTCCATTCTTCTGCATGTTGATATCCAGTCAGACCGGCACCATTTGATGAAGATGCTTTCTTTTACCCATTGTGATGTTTTTGGCTTCTTTTTATATGTATATATATATATATATATATATATATATAATCAAGTGTCATTAGGTGTGTGGATTCATTTCAGAGTCTTCAATTTGATTTCATTGAACAACTTGTCTTTTCCTATACCAATATGATGTAGTATTTATTGCTGTTGCTCTGTAGTACAGCTTGAGGTCAGAGATGCTGATACCTCCCAAAATCATTGTAGTGTCCAGAATCGCTTTACCTACCCTGGATTTTCTGTTTTCCCATATGAAATTTCTCTTTCAAGGTCTGTAAAGAATTGTGTTGGAATGATGATGAGAATTGCATTGAATATGTCCATTGCTTTTGGTAGGTCACTTTCACTATGTTAACCCTACTGACCCATAGCATGAGAGATCTTTCTGTGTTCTGACCCCTTCCTCAGTTTCCTTCTTTAGAACCTTGAAGTTCTTGTCCTATATGTCTTTCGTTTACTTGGTTAAAGTTACATCAAGGTATTTTATACGATTTGTAGCTATTTAAAGGGTACTGCTTCCCTAATCTTTCTCAGCCCTTTTATCGTTTTTATAAAGGAGGGCTACCTAGCTCCCCTCCCCCCCTTTGAGGTAATTTTGAATCCAACCACTTTGCTGAAAATGATTATCATCTGTACTCTGGTAGAATTTTTGAGGTTGCTTATGTACACCATCATATCATCCACAAAGAGCAATACTTTGACTTTCTCCTTTCCGACCTTTATCTCTTTGAACATCTTTTTTTTTTTTTTAAAGATTGTCTTTTTGCTCTAGCTAGAACTTCAGAAAGTAAATTTAATAGCTAGGGAGAGAGTGGGCAGCCTTGTCTTGTCCCCGATTTTAATAGAATTGCTTTATGTTTCTCTCCACTTAATTTGAAGTTGACTACTCGTTTCCTTAATATTGCTTTCATTATATTTAGGTCTGTCCATCTATCCCTGATCACTCTGTGACTTTTAACATGCATGGGTTTTGGATTTTGTCAAGGGATTTTTCATCATCTAATAAGAGGATCATGATATTTTTCTTTCAATTTATTTATATGGTGGATTACATTGATTTTCTCATACTTGATCATCCCTGAATGCCTAGAATGAAGCCTACTTGATCATGGTAGTTGATTTTTTTTTGATGTGTTCCTGTATTGGGCATGAGAGTATTTTATTATTTTTGCACCAATGTTCATAAGAGAAATGTATATGAACTTCTCTTCCATCCTTGAGTCTTTGCTTCAGTTAGGTGTCAGGGATTTGTGGCCTCATAGAATGTGCTTGGCAATGTTCCTTCTATACCTATTTGGTGGATTAGTTTGAAGAGTATTGGTATTAGCTCTTCTTTGAGAGTCTGGTAGAATTCTGTGCCAAGACCATTTGACCCTGTTCGTTGTTGTTGTTGTTGTTGTTGTTGTTGTTGTTAGACTTTAACTACTCTTTGTACTTCCTTAGGGGTTATAGGGCTGTTTAAATAGTTTACTTTGCCTTCATTCAACTTTTGTAAGTGGTATTTATCTAGAAAAATATCCAAATAGTTACGATTTTCCAAATTTGTGGAGTAAAGCCTTTTGATATAAGACTTAATAATTGTTCAAATGTCCTCTTTATCTGTTGTTATGTCTTCCTTTCCATTTCTTACTTTATTTGGATACTGTCCCTCTGTCTTTTAGTCAGTGTGTTTAAGGTTTTTTCTATCTTGTTGAATTTCTCAAAGAACCATCTCTTATTTTCCTTGGTTCTTTGTATTGTTTAATTTGTTTCCAATTGATCGATTTCATCCCTACTTTTCTCTATGCCCTGCCTTCTACTACTCGTCAGTGTGCTTTCTGCTGCTGCTGCTGCTGCTGCTGCTGCTGATGATGATGATGATGATGATGATGATGGTGATGATGGTGATGGTCCTTCTAATTCCACTTCTTCATCTTCCTCTTCTTCCTCCCTATCTTCTTCTAATTCTTCTTCTCTAAAGCTTTCAGATGTACTTTTAAATTGCTCTTAGGAGACGTTTCTAATATCTATATGGAGGCATTTAGTCCTGTGAACTTTTGTGTTAACATTGCTTTCATTGTGTCCCATGAATTTGGGTATGCTGTGCCTAGTTTTTCGTTGAATTCTAGAAAGTCTTTCATTTCTTTTTCATTTCTTCCTTGGTCCAGAGATCATGGAGTAGGGAGTTATCCAGTTTCAATGAGTTTGTGGGCATTCTGGCATTTGTATTGCTGAAATCTAGCTTTAATGTGTAGTAGTCTGATGAAATACAAGGTGTTATTTCAATTTTCTTATAATCTGTTGAGGCTTGCTTTGTGGTTGATTATATGGTCAGTTTGGGAGATGGATCCATGAGGTGCTGAGAGAGAAGGTATATTCTTTTGTGTTTGAGCGAAATGTTCTGTAAATATATGTTAGGTCCATTTGATTCATAATGTTGGGCTTTTTCATTATTTCTCTCTTTAATTTTTGTCTGGATGTCCTGTTAGTTCGTGAGAGTGGAGTTTTGAAGTCTCCCACTATTCATGTGTGGGGTTCCATGTCTGATGTAAGTTTTAGCATTTCTTGTACAACTGTGGGTGCCCTTGTGTTTGGAGCATGGATGTTCAGAATTGAGATATCATCTTGGTAGATATATTTTTTCATCAGTACCAAGTGTCCTTCCCTGTCTATCTTGATTAATTTTTGTTGAAAGTTAGATTTAGAATGGCTGCTCTAGCTTGATTCTTTGGTTTATTAGCTCAGAAAACATTTATTCAGCCCTTTATTCAGAGGTGATGGCTATCCTTACTACTGAAGTGTGTTCCTTGTGTGCAGTAGAATGTTGAATCATGCATTTTGTATCCTTTCTGTTAGCCTGTGTCTTTCTGTTGGGGAATTGAGTCCATTAATGTTTAGAGGTATTAAAGACCAGGGATTGTTAATTCCTGTTATGTAAATGGTGGTGGTGGTGGTGGTGGTGGTGGTGGTGGTGGTGGTGTGGGGTGTGTGTGTGTGTGTGTGTGTGTGTGTGTCTGTGTGTGTGTGTGACAGAGAGAGAGAGAGAGAGAGAGAGAGAGAGAGAGAGAGAGAGAGAGAGAGAGAAAGAGAGCATGTGTGTACTTTCCTTGATTTTGTTGGTATGGAAATGTAGATTTCCTGTGTTTTGTTGGCTATAGCTATCTTCTTTGGTTTGGCATTTTCCTTCTAGTATTTTCTGTAGGGCTGGATTACTATAATTATTAGGATAGGTCTTCTCATGTCATCACAGATTTACTGGCTGTTTCATGTCAGGAACTCTTTAGAATTAACTTTTTCCTTGACTGGTGTGCCAATTTCTTCTATTGTGTCTTCTATGCCTATGATTTTTTTCCATCTCTTACATTCTGTTGGTGGTCCTTCCATGTGTTGCTCCTCTTCTCTTCCGTAGGTTTTCCATCACCATTATTTCCTCAGTTTGTGTTTTTTTATTGCTTCTATTTGCATTTTCAGATCTTGAACATTTATATTTCCTTCACATTTTAATTTTTTTCTCGTATTACTTTGAATGATTCATTTATTTCCTCTTAAAGGCCTCCACCTGTTTGATTGTATTTTCCTGAATTTCTTTAAGGGATTCATTGAATTCCTCTTTAAAGGTGTATATCATCCTTATAAGATTGGTTCTAATTCATTTCTTGTGTTTAGGTTTGTGTCAGTATAGCCAGGACTTTCTTTAGTAGAATATCTGTGCTCTTAAGTTGTCATATTGTCCTGGCTATGGTAGATTGTTTTCTTTAGTAAGCATTTGACCATATGTTCCTGTTGTGGTATTTATTGAGTGGGGTCCTAAGCTCAAAGATCCTGGTATGGCAAGCCTCTTGTGGGTATTCCTGAGCTAGACAATGGTACTCACAGTGCAGTGCAAGTATACCATCAGTTGCACGTGCCCCTGGGGACACCTGAGGAGGGTATTGGAGATGGGGAGAGGCAGGTAGAGAGATAGCCAGACAGTGGAGTTCTGGGGAACAGGAGTCTACTCGGGGCAGCTGGGCATGCCCCAGAGGACTCAGTAGGCAAGGAAAATGGGTGAAGGAATTGAATCTAGCTGGTATGTTTCAAGATCATCAGGTGTGATGAAGGTGGGTGTAGAGTTGGAGAGACAATGGAGGTTCCAGAGCAGGGGGATAACAGGCTGCTCTTGGGTAGCTGGGCTGCACCAGAGAACTCAGCATGTAGATAAGATGGGTGCAGGTCTGATAAAGGTGGGTGGAGGGTTGGAAGGATAATGGACTTGGAGGTTAGGGTGCAGCCAGCTTCTGAGGGCAGGGAAGCACCCACTTAACTCATTTATTGCACATGGAAATCTGCTTAAATGTCACCATTATTGGCATTTCTAACAAGCATCTGCTGACTGAAAATTTGAAAATTTTGAACTTTGCATGTTTTGAATGTGACATGAAAAGGGGATTTCCAATTGAAGTAGGCTTGTTTGTGTTTGTTTGTTTGTTTGTTTGTTTGTTTTAGAATATACAAGACCTGGAGAACGAACACAAAATTCTTGATACTGTTGAGCAAAACAGATTGGAAAATGAAATGGAAATCCTGAGGAATAAAGTTGTGACAGAAAATGTAGGTAGTATATACCTAACACTGAGAAGTGGGTGTCTCTTTGATTTTTTGTATGCCTTCCTTGAAGAGATGCTTATAATAATTATCAATACCTCTGTTTTAAAACAGCAACAACAAGACTTGGCAGCTATAGAATCGTGTCTTCATTCTCTGTTCTCCGAGGATATTGAAGAAGATAAGCTGTGATCCCATGTCATGTGACATACACAAAACGTTCTCTACATTACCAAAAATTATAATAGAAATTGGCACATCTCATTTGTCATTATTTGTTTGGTACATATCAGACTCCATGTCCCTTAATAATCCAGTGAGCTCTGAGCAGTTTCGTGGGTTGCAGCCATGACAAGGGGGTAAATATTGAATTACCAGGCCCTTGGGAAGAAACACAGAAGCACTGTCACTAACACTAATAGATTTGGTAGTATATGGTAGAATTAACTCAATGGCGTCATAAAAGTTCTCTACTGCAACTTATATTTGTCTTGTAGAAAACAAAATTTAACTTCTAAAACTTATCACAAGCTGAAAACAGCAAAACCAAAAAGTCCTATGTAGATCTTGGAGCAGGGGTTGGGGATGGGAGAGCAGGTTTGTGGCATTTCTAGATAGCTAATGTTCATGGAATTGGTTTATGTAGCTGTTTAATGACACTTGTCCTTAGTGTTGACAGAAAGAGTTTGACTTATGTACAGATATGCATCATTTCTTTTCTCAATAGTCCACTTCTGCCCTTTGGTCATATACTATCTGGAGTGCTTTGTTTTTCAAGTTACATTATCAGTGAGTGTGCAGAAGTTCACATATGTACCTATTTAACTCATGAATCATTCTTTTGACTTTCTTCTTATGGTTTTTACTTTTGCATTAAGTAACTTTCAAACCTTCCATGTAAACACCGTGTTTAATAAGTTTGAAAATAGTTTACAATCTACTTCAGATATGTCAATTAAATACTTTCTTTGTATAATAAAATTATCAAATTATTTGAAAAAATATATTAGTCCCAGAGGAAGGAGAGGACTGAGTCATCTGACCAGGTGCTGCTTTCCATTTTGATTTTGACCAGTGAAGCAAGTTTATATGCCTGTTTTTCTTTCTTTCTTTCTTTCTTTTCTTTCTTTCTTTTTACTACAAGTACATATGCCTTTATCATACAAATGCATGATTTTTACTCCACCATTCTCATATGTGCACATATCTGCAATTACAAGGCCCACCCTGTTACCAATCCATCTACCCAGTTTCCCCTTCCATTCTGCCCAAATGCTTATAACCCCTTCAGCCTGTTCTATATTCAGGTTTTTCTAAAATTGTTTGCATGTATGTGAAAGAATATGTGGTGTGAGTGTTTGGCCTATTTCCCTTAATATAATGCCATGAGATTGCATATATATATATATATATATTTCATACATTTCTCATGCTCTCAGTTGTTGATGGACAAATGAGCTATTTGTGCTTTAAATGCCTCCTGTACCAGAATGGCCATATGTCATGATGGATTACCATGGTTACCAGGACTGGACTGAGAATTGGTTAGGGAATTTGTAAAGTATATGTGTGCCATACATGTGGAATTATTTACATGGAAGATTGGGAGAGATACAGGACAATGTCTTGCCTGAATGTTAATAGCATTTTAACAGGCTGAGAGCCTGCATGGAATTAAGGAATAAAAAGAGAAAGAAAACTAGTATATGAAAGATTCATTTTTCCTGGACTGGTACATCTATTGCTGAGGCCATCACTGGTAGATATCAGATTAGAGCTTCTTTAAACTCTCAATTCTGATACATACTAGTGTTGCACCCAGAGACCTCCAGACTTCCAGAGTTTGGGACTGCATACATCATTTCCCTGGCTTTCTTTTAAAAAAATGTTTTTACATGGGGGGGGGTGTTTATGAATACATCCAATAATGTTCTTGTGAAGGTCAGAGAACACCTTGTGGGAGCTGGTTCTCTCCTTCCACAATGTAGGCTTTGAAGGCTTAATATTTTATGTGGGTGGGTGTGGGGGGTTGTTATATAACATGTGGGCTATACCTGATTTATTTAATATTGGTTCATACACACTCACAAACATAATATACATATATATATATATATATATACATGTACATGTATGTACACACATGTGAGATAGTTTAAATCTGCATGTCATTAGAATGAGTTTCAGATAATGGCATACTTTTATTGCTCTTCTCACAGGCAAATAGTTTTAAAGATTTTATTTGAATTGGAGAAAAAAACTCACCTTATATTTTCCTAAAACATTTGTGTAATTCATGCTAAGTACACTATGCATCATATCTATTACTAAGGTGTGGGGACATCCTGGATGTATATAGCATACTTAAAGTTTCTCAGATCCAGAGAGGAGAATCAGTTGGTTAAATTTAAGAGTGGACTTATTATTTGGTAGAAAATCAGGAAGGTAGAAGATGGAAGTGTTTCTGAGTAGAGCATTTGAAGTAGCATGTGTAAATTATTAAAAGAGAAAACTTGGCCTATCTGGAAAATTCTAGGATATGGAGTTACAGTTGTGAGGCACCATGAGGTGTTGAACACTGTAGTTGGATCCTCTGTAAGACTGTTAGCACTCAGTAGTCTCAATTGCTGAGCTGTCTCCCCAGACCTAATACCTGAATTATCTTTCTTCTGTTTTCCATCATTTTGCTTTTGACTTTGTGTTCACATCAACTTTTATTTTCACTGGAACTAGCAATTTCAGCCTTATTGAATTGGGGCTGCATTGTCCCCCAAGCCTTTTGGCCTGTTAGAAAAACATGACCCAAGTAATAGAACTGAGTCTTATGTATATATTTATTAACACAAATTTGGGGCAATCATAATCCTCTTTGAGCTCTATTTCTTCACCTTCCATACTATAAAATAGTTTGTAGTATACCTACATGGCAAGGTTTTTCTAAAGATCATACATAATTTTCAGTGAATGCTGACTTTTATTCCCAGTTTATAAAGCCTACGTACAAATGGAAGCTATTTTAAATAATATTGAAGTTAATAATTTTTCATTTAGCACACACATGAAAGGCACATACTGTTTTCTATGGAAAATGGTATATAAATTAGAACTTACATCCCCATCCTTGGAAGCAACTTACGTCTTGGTTATTTACCATGTAGATGTGAACTACATATGCATAAAACTTGTTGCTCTTTTATTATTTTTTGTTACAAATTATGTTTCAAAGAATAATTTGTGAGGTTCATGGCAACCAAGAAGAAATAAATGAATAGGAGAAATGGAGATACTTTATAAAAATCTGACCAATCCTTTAAGCAGTGAAAGGATGCTGCTGTCCATAGAGCTAGATGGAATGTCTTCCCACATGTCTTAGGGTTTTACTGCTGTGAACAGACACCATGACCAGGGCAACTCTTATAAGGACAACATTTAATTGAAGCTGGCTTACAGGTTCAGAGGTTCAGCCCATTATCACCATGGCAGCATCCAGGTAGACATAGTGCAGGCAGCGCTGAGAGTTTTACATCTTCATCTGAAGGCTTCTAGGAGAAGACTGTCTTCCTTGCATCTAGGAAGAGGGTCTTAAAGCCCATGACCACAGTGACACAGCTTCTCCAACAAGGCCACACCTCCTAATAGTGCAGCTTTCTGGGCCAAGCATATACAAACCATCATACCAGGTCAGAAAGTAATGAGTTGATCATAACTGGAATGTGAGAAACAAGTGGAACTGCTACATCTTGGCAAGGGCTCAAAAATGTAATGTGAAGTTTACCCAGATCAGTGCTACTTGATCTCAGCATGTTAGAATCGACACATCACATTTTTAAAACTTTCCCTCTAGATTTCATTCATCTTTATACCAACATGAAACTACAAATTCATGTATATTTACATTTGTGTTCCCAGGATAAATCCTTTATCCATAGCACTAAATAAGAATCAGAAAAGGTAACATTCAGAATATTGATTTTATACTTTCAAAGAGAATTAAATTGGAAATTACAATTCCCAATTTAAATCGTGTTCATATTTTATGTTAATTTTTCACTTCTTTTTCATTCACAATGGAGTTAAAATATTTTTCTACATTTAGGAGTAAACCTGTTAGTATAATTTATCTATGTTTTCATTGAACCTGAGTTCAATGAAATGAGGGATATTGTATTAAATGTTTGAAATAAGTATGTTAAGCCTTCAATTTATAAATTCCAATTTGTAGTACACATAAAAATATAAAGTTTTTCACTTGTGGTTGTTGAAAACATTTGGTTAGTTAAACATTCACTTCAAAGTACATTTTTAAAGTTAAAAGTTTTAGAACTATCTAAGAAAATGTGCACTTTTACTTGAGACAGTAGCTCATGTATCAAAAGTTAATCTCAAAACCACTATGTAGTTCTGAGGACCTTGAATATCTGACCATCTTTGAAATATTAATCACAACTGATTTGCCAACACAATTTTAACTTTATTTTTCTCTAACAATTATTTTCCATCTCGTTCTGTACCACATAGGATTATAATGATCTTCATGCCTAACTTCAGGTAGAAGGTCTAATAATTACCTGTTTACAGCAAATGCAGTTGATAATCACAGAAGTTTCTAATTTCAGATGTGGACATTTATAGAATCATTTTTTCCAAGCTATGAAATTTTCATTGGAAATTTCTTTGAAAATATTTGCTACTGGAAATTCCCAGTACCTCACACATAGTGCAGATTTAAAAAAAAAAGAAAATGTCAAGAAACAAACTATGTTTGCAGCTTACTGCCTTTTTACTGCAATCTAAAATACACACAGGTTTATGGTGACAGGGACATTGTTGTCAATTCTTTTAAATTCTTTAGAAACACTTTCCACTGAAACATTTAAAATGATACCATAAACCAGTTCAAGCAGCTCCACTGTCTTAGAAATCGACAAGTAAATATGAAATCCTGAGCTCTGTATGAGTTGCTGACACTATTTTGTTACAGTAGAAGATATAAAGACTTCAAACTTTAATGAAAATGAATTATCTTAAGGTCACATGTACCTCAGATAAAAATGTCAAGAAACAAACTATTTTGCAGTCCATTGCCTTTTTGTTGCAATCTGAAATGCACACAAGTTTATGGTGACAGGATACATTGTTTTTAACTCATCTCTAGAATTTTCTTGTTAGTAGAGCTGTCAACATCATGTACA